AAGTAACACAGTGTGAGAATAGGAGACAGGAAACCAACAGTCAATGGAAGAGGGTGTTTGAGTTATAGGTTTCAGAGCAGGTGTAATATAAGTAACACAGTGTGAGAATAGGAGACAGGAAACCAACAGTCAATGGAAGAGGGTGTTTGAGTCATAGGTTTCAGAGCAGGTGTAATATAAGTAACACAGTGTGAGAATAGGAGACAGGAAACCAATGGTCAATGGAGGAGGGTATTTGAGTTATAGGTTTCAGAGCATTTTCTCGTGGTGTTGAGGCCTGATGTGTGCTTGTAGGAGCAGATGGCTGAACTGGAGTGGACATGCATGCCAGTGGAGTTGGGGAGATAAGGAAACTGAGAAGCCAGTGTTGGATGGGCTGTCCTGTAGACAAGTCACCTGCATGATTGGGAGGAAGGTAGAGAGGAAGACAATGAGCAGGTGCCAGTCTTCATCAAGTGATGAGAAAGACTCAGAGCCGCAGAGAATCAGAGCAAGAAAGGAAAAGCACGAGAGACATCATGGAAGATTCCACAGGTAGTCCCTTTACAATCGGTTTACCACCCCAAGAGGCCCCAGCCCAGTGGACGAGGCAAGGCAATAGCCCCTGTGACTTCTATCATGAGCTGGCACCCCAGTCCTGCTGATGGATGTAAGGACAGCCTTTCTAAGCCACAATTTGTAATATTGGCCATTAGCCTTAGAATACTACGTTCCCTTTTCATTCCTAGGAAAACTTTTTCTCTATGGAAATAATCAGGAATGTGAACATTATTTTATGCTGAATAATGTGAGCATTATTCATAACTGGAAACATCTGGAGACAAACCTACTCACCCAACAGTAGGGGCCCAATTACCTAAAGTATAGTACTTAAACAAAATGTATGAAGTTTTAGATGTCCTGAGGAAATACCTATGATCTAATGTCAGATAGTAAAATGTACAAAATTATATATGAAGGCTGGGTGCGGTGGCTCACTCCTATAATCCCAGCACTCTAGGAGGCCAAGGTGGGTGGGTTGCCTGAGCTCACAAGTTCAAGACCAGCCTGAGCAGGAATGAGACCCCATCTCTAAAAATGGCTGGGTGTTGTGGTGGGGGCCTGTAGTCCCAACTACTCAAGAGGTTGAGGCAAGAGAATCACTTGAGCCCAAGTGTTTGAGGTTGCTGTGAGCTATGACCCACAGCGCTCTACTGAGGGTGACATAGTATGACTCTGCTTCAAAAATATATATGTATATAGTCACTATGTAAAATATATCCATGCATAAAGAAAGGAATAGACGAAAATATCCCAAAATGTAAGTGATAATGATGTTACCAATTATTTTAATTTTTTCATTATTTTCTATGATAAGGAAAATATTGCTCTTGTAACAAAAAAGGTATTAAAAATGAAGAGAACTACTAAACTTTCTGCCTTTGAACTTTATCTTTTATAGTTAAATGGTAACTGAGACTTTTAAGTAACCTTTTTTTTTTTTGAGACAGAGTCACACTATGTCATACTGGGTAGAGTGCTATGGCAACATAGCTCACAGCAACCTCAAACTCTTGGGCTTAAGCAACTCTCTTGCCTCGGCCTCCCAAGTAGCTTAGCTGGGACTACAGGTGCCCACCACAATGCCTGGCTATTTTTTAGGGGGGGGGCTGGAACTGGGTTTGAACCCGCTACCCCTGGCATATGGGGCCAGCGCCCTGCCGTTTTGAGCCACAGGCGCTGCCCATGCCTGGCCAATTTTTGTTGTGGTTGTCATTGTTTAGCTGGCCTGGGCTGGGTTCAAACCCTCCAGCCTTGGTGTATGTGGCTGACACCATAACCGCTGTGCTAAGCACAGTTAACCTTAGTAACTAGGAATGATGATGCTTTACATACTCCAGACCTAACCTCAACTGTGCAAAATAGTTATTTTTTTTTCCAGTCTACAGAGAGTAAACCTGAAGGCTAGAGAGCCTGACTAATTTGAGATCACACATCTACCAAGTTGTAAAGCCAGGATTGAAACCAGGGTTGTATTGTTAGGAACAGTAAGAGGACAGGGTAAGAAGGAAAAAACAGACCAGACGATACCTGAGACAAAGGAAGCCACACAACCTGAGATTTTAGATAGAGCTAAAAGAGCTTCTATTGGACAACAGAGCCCCCTAATCAAGAGTACATCAGTCCATGGGAGCTAAATGTCAAACCACAAGAGGATACGTGGTTTCTGACAACAGGAGCAGGTATACCTTTTTTTTGTTTGAGACAGAGTCTCATTTTGTCGTCCTCAATGGAGTGCTATGGCGTCACAGCTCACAGCAACCTCAAACTCTTGGGCTTAAGCAATTACCTTAGCTTCCGAAGTAGCTGGAACTATAGGCACCGTCCAGAACACCCGGCAATTTTAGAGATGAGGTTTTGCTCTGGCTCAGCCTGGTCTCAAACTCCTGAGCTCAAACAATCCACCCACCTCGGTCTCCCAGAGTGCTAGGATTACAGGCCTGAGCCACTACACCTGGCCTCAGGCATAGTTCTAAGTAGAGAGCCCTAAAATTAACCTGATGTGGAGCCCATCATTGTAATATCAGTTACATTTGCCACCACACATGCATATATTTGAAAATGAAATTGTAGGAACTATTATGGGATAGGAGTTATGTACCATTAGAAATGCATAAACATTAGAAATAGGTGGAGAATGGCTCAGCACCTGTAGCTCAAGCGGGTAGGGCGCCAGCCACATACACCAGAGCTGGTGGGTTTGAATCCAGCCAGGGCCCACCAAACAACAATGACAACTACAACCAGAAAATAGCCAAGTATTGTAGTGGGCGCCTGTAGTCCCAGCTACTTGGGAGGCTGAGGCAAGAGAATGGCTTTAGCCCAGGAGTTGGAGGTTGCTGTGAGCTGAAACGCCAGGGCACTCTATAGAGGGCGATAAAGTGACACTCTGTCTCAAAAAAAAGTGAAAGAAAGAAAGAAATAGGTAGAGAAAAGCTGGAGCTAGGAAGATAAATAGTCCAAGGGAAACTTACAAGAGGTCCTTCCTTATTTGAGAGGAAGAGACTCTACCTCTCAAGTGTGTTTGTTTTGTTTGTTTGTTTCTGAGACAGAGTCTCACTTTGTGGCCCTTGGTAGAGTGCCGTGGCATCACAGCTCACAGTAGCCTCAAACTCTCGGGCTCAGGTGATCCTCTTGCCTCTGCCTCCCAAGTAGCTGGGACTAGAGGCACC